TCTCTCTCTCTCTCTCTCTCTCTCTCTCTCTCTCTCTCTCTCTCTCTCTCTCTTTCACTTCGTGTGTCTTGATGTATGCAGGTACACCCTGCTTCGTCGCAGCAGCTATGGCGGACCTTCTTCTTCACCGCGCTATGGTCTTCTTCCTCACGCGGCTAYGWACATGGCAGCGGGTACCAGCTCCGATACCAATGAAATCAGTCTTGCAAATTCACACTCAAACATGCATGCAACAGGTGAGAATAACTTGGCGCTGTGCGCCCAACTCAAACTCGGAGATGTGGCAGCTTGCAACTCAACTCAAATCCAAGTTTACATYAGYTGACTGTGGCGCTGGGCGCCCACACACTTACACACCCRACTCAGAGTTCACACGCAACTCGACTCCGGATCACCCTGGATACCATGCACGCCAACCTCTGCACACACACATACACACTCACTAACTATCTATGGCTATGGCGCATGGCCACTAACGGCTAACTAGCCTATCACTAACTTCTGCCCACTTCGTCTTCAGKCCATYTGCAGACCTCCCTTGCACAAGACGCCCGAGCAGCGCTTCCGCAGAGSTTCCGCAGGAATGAATGAATGGCTGGACGCAGCCTCTTGATTTATACTTCTGCGCAGCTYCGATTTGGYCTGTATTCYCTGGCCCCGGTACCYTTAGCCCCATATGGTACTTGCTGGACYGGACAGGGACTTTCTGGACACTTCCTCGACTGCACTACGACTCACCTACGACTCACTGCAGTCCTACTGAGGTCCTACCAGTTGACTTCGACAGATGTCACAGTCYTACGGCGCRAGTAGACKTAGCTACACCACTTGCCCACTGGTCGACCTTCTAGAAGACCTCTGGACCCTACTTCGATTTTTGCCCTACAGGTCTGTGGTTCGAATCCCTTACTTCTCTGGTGCCTACRATGACCTACCTGCAAGTGGCTATCCTACAGGTCASAGGTTCAAGTCCTACAACTACACAGGTATTGTACACAGGTAAGTTGGGGAACTAGGGATCGAGCCCTGGGACCTACATCAGCTACTTCGAACTGGGGAATACCGTTTCACTCCCGCCGGCCTAAATTCGAGGTCCTCCGAGAAAATTTCAGTCCAAGGCAGGATCTTTACCCTTCTGTTGTCTTTCGTAGGCCCGGACTATGTCGGGAGCTGTCTGTAGAAGTTCAGATCTTGTAAACCAGCGGTCGTCCTCCGGTTCCTGATAGCTAAAGTGAACTTATCTACAGTCAAGGAAGTGAAATATATGTGAACACAGGGATCATACTGTCCAAATAGTAATGTGGTATAGTTTCATTTTCTATGGTCGATAGGTGCATATTAATTCTTGCACAATCGATGCGTTTAGCGACAAAGTAGGAGGCACCTACCGATCTTTCCTACGTGACTCCTATTTTGGAAACGCTGACCTTATTTTGAAAAGTTATGTGTGTGTGTGTGTGTGTGTTTCACTTAAATTGTATCATTGTTTTATGTCATTGTCCCAGATACATATATACACATAAAAACTTGGAAAATGAAATGCGGCTTACGTGCGTTGTATATGTGTGTGCCCGCGCAGGGGATTGGAGGTGCGACCTATCCACAGTCATTGAAAAAAAATGTATGTACATGAAGATTACACTAAAGAAATAGTAATCTGTTAATTTTATTTTTCTTTTGGTCGGTAGGTGCATATTAATTTTTTACAATCTATATGTCTAGCGTTAATGTAGTATGCACCTACCGGCCTTCCCTGCGGAACACATGTTTAGAAACGCTGACTTCATTTTGAAAGGTTTTGTTATTTGGATGTTTGTTTGTCACAAATATATAAACATACACTAACATGTACAATTAAATAAGTGTTTGATAGATTATCCGAAATGAAGGACTATTTTTCAATAGGTTCATACTAATATCGCCGCACTTGATGCATCCAACCTTAAATTCGTATATTCGTCTCGACTCTCTCTCACTAATATTGTTTTTCATTGTCTAAGTGTAGATTATATAGTGTATTAAAGATATGATATCAACGAGAAAGAAAAACGAGTAGCGGTGTTGACGTTGTTCATTTTCATTGGTGTCTCGTTTTGTTTTGCTATGAAATGTGCATGTTATTTCTGCAGGACGACGAGACTGCAAAACAAGAAGTTAAACGGGGACCTTCTCAGGCATGCAAATGTTCTTGGTTCCACCCCCAACAAGCCTCTTACCCACCCTAAGTGAAGGCGGGTCTGTACATCCACGAGAGACCTATTTTTGACATTTTTCGTATGTGGGGTATCAGACAGTTGTCGCACACCGGTTGGTTACAGAACAACGTGAGACTTTTGTGGCTCATTTCAGAAGCAACAACTGCGTTGTACAATTGAGCCCAGGGCTTAGTTGGTTGCACCCTCTGCACACGTAGTGGGAGGCCGACACAACACTTAGTCACAGTGGACCAATGGCAATGCAACATTATCGTCACACATCTTCCACGGGCTAACGAAAATGCGGCAAACACTTGGAGCCTGGAAGGCTACCTGAACATGCCCAACTGCACAAAGCCCGGACCAGTGTTTTGAAACTAGGCCTGAGCCGCAGACACTTTGGGCCAACTTGAAGCTACTGGGCCCCACACCAGGCACAGGCAGGCCAGCGGTAAGGTGCATTTTCCATATAAGAAAGTGTGAGCTCAGGGGCACGACATTCTGGCCTGAGCAGGCATTGCCACGCTGCTGCTTTGCTGCGCGACACTCCGTTAAGCAGACAGGTTGGGGCGCACGTGGGCGCAAGAGGTGCAAGGGCGCTGCAGTGGCAGTGGGCGCACGCCGCACGACGCCCATAGCCGGGCTGTACGTGGGGGTAGCAGGTGATGGCGATGGTGGTCTTCCGATACGAGGCGCATGCAGAGGGGAGGAAAGAGAACGTACCTAATGTTTGTTAACGTTTGGCATTTTGATGACGTCGCGTACATTGGTCTTCAGCTTCGATGCGATCTGGTTGCAAGAACGTAGGCAGACGTAGATAGGCTGAGTAGAGTAGGCTGGGCGTTGGGAAGAAATCAGTAGGAGTAACAACCAATACCGTGTTGGTAAGGCCAGAGAGAGTTGACATTGACATACGAATTCATTGTATTGCTCTGAGTTGGATGGTATCTTGGTGCATTGTGCTCTCTACAAGCACATAAGTATCTAGACTACTTCCCGATTCCACTCCCGATTATTTGGATGGTATCTTATATGGCCGGGTGCATGGGTGGGTATGCTTCAGACTACAGACATATCGATAATTATTCATAATAACGCCAAAACCTTCATGGTTTTTTATGTACATAAGCGAAAGTTTACAAAACCGAAGTTTTCATAGGAGAGACAGAGAGAGAGAGTCTGGTATAAATTTAATGTTGTTTTCCTAAGGTTGCACAACAAACAAAGTGGTGGTCGGTAGGTGCATGCAAATTTGTCTTCGTAAATATTGATTGCCTTTGTTTTACTATGCACCTACCGGCCACTTTCCATTTTCTTATTCAAAGACATCTATAAATTCAATGTTGCTTTTCTAAGATCGCACAACAAACAAAGTGGTGGTCGGTAGGTGCATACGAATTTGCCTTTGGAGATATTGATTGTCTTTGTTTTACAATGCA